AAGGAAGGAAGGAAGGAAGGAAGAAAGAAAGAAAGAAAGAAAGAAAGAAAGAAAGAAAGAAAGAAAGAAAGAAAGAAAGAAAGAAAGAGAAAAAAAGGGAGGGAGGGAGGAAGGAAGGCAATGAGAAAACAGGAAGGCAATGAGAGAAGAATGGGATGGAGAAAGGAGGGAAGGAAGACAATGAGAGAAGAATGGAATGGAATGGAATGGAAGAAGGAAGGAAGGAAGGAAGGAAGGAAGGAAGGAAGGAAGGAAGGAAGGAAGGAAGGAAGGAAGGAAGGAAGGAAGGAAGGAAGGAGAAGACCTGTTCATCAGAGTCACTTGGCTGAGTTGGGCAGCTATAAAAATTGAATAAATAAAACAAAAAATAACCTAGCAAAGATACCCACCAGATACTGAGTTGCTTGCTTAAACATTTCTTTCTCCAGACCCGAAGACACCACTCCGTTTTCTTCAATCCCGTTCTGAATCACGGCCTTCTTCTCCCAGTGTTCCTTGATCACCTTCACCTTGAGCCTGCTTCGGAGAATGAGGGCCGCGTTGCCTGCCAGGAAGAATTAAAGACAGAGAAGGGATTAAAATGGCAAGGCCGATTAGCACAAGCATGAGCTGTGCTGGATAACACAATCCATTTCATGGAACGGTACAGCCAATCTTGAGCCAATCCAGAAAAAAAATGTTCTTAATTCAGACCGTGACTCGGTATTGGCTTCCTTGAACGGCTAAAATTCCCCGGGACTTAAAAAAAAAAAAAAAGTTTGTGTCAACTTGGACTTTCCTGCTGCAGGGTACACTGTATCCCCATGCCCCCCGTGTACTCTTTATATATATATATATATGCCCCCCGTGTACTCTTTATATATATATATATATATATATTAAAAGAGTACACAGGTGGCTCAGTGGCTAAATCACTGCCTAGGATGTATAACTTCCCAGGTTCGAATCCCATAAAAAGGGTATGGCTAACTGATGAAGGCAAAAAAGCCAGAAATGGTCCATCTTAGTCTCCCAATTTAATTCTTTACTCTCTGTCAGAAAAAAGAAATTTGGATATAAAAATACTTCGCAGTTGCGACTTGAGCCTGCTCTATGCCCCTAGTTGGGGGCGGCAAGGCAAGAGATATTGTAAAAAGAGTAATACTGCAGTATGGCAGTTGAAAATGTCAAGGTGTTCACAATCAGACCGATCTGTCTGAACTCCCTATATATATATATATATATATATATATATATAAAACAAGTTACAAATATGGTATACATTAATAAACAAGAGAAAACCCCCCATATTAAATCTATTCAGAGATACTCAGCAGCCCCCCCGCCTGCGTCCACCCTCTCTTTCACCCTTCCTGCCTACTTCCCTCCTCCTCTGTTCTCCTACCTACACCTCTCTCCTCCTTCCTCCTCTCAACCACCCTACACATCCCACCTCCTTCCTTTCCTCATCCTTCGGACGCAGTTTGGGGGCGCCAGCCGAGCATCTCATCTTCTTCAAATACATTATTTCACTATAACATTTTAATATACCAAAATTTACATTTACATCTTTAATACCCTCCCCTCCCCCTGGACTTCCCAGAACCGAATACAGGGTTATGCACATGTCATCCCAGATCTAAATAAAACTACCCAAACATAATACAATCAAATATTAACATACTTTAACTCTAATAATCTTAAAAGGGGATCTAGCTGGGATTTTGAAAGCATGTCCCCAAATGACTGCCAGAGAGGGAGTCACCGCTGAGCAGAAGGCGAACTGTTGACGCTGCTCTTGTCTCAAACAAGATTTGAGACAAGACCACGCATCTGAGGGGGCAGCCTTGTAGAAATAGAAGGACCTTTTGGGACTTACCTTCTATGACTTGGGTGACCTGAGACTGAAAGTTCTCAAAGTTGAAGGGGGTGAGGAAGCCCAGGGACCCCAAATGGAAAGCCATGACTGGGGGTACGCTCCTCTGTTGGCAAAGGAAAAAAAACAACAACAGGGAGAGGGGGAATGTTAGAAAGCACGGAGAAAGAGTTGGGGAAAACAGCATCCCCTGAGCATTTTCGTCCTTGTTCTTACGTCTGGGACAAAATG